TCCCTGCCTCTGCCTCCAGAGTGCTGGGATTACAGACGTGTGTCACGGCACCCGGCTATAGTAGCATGGGCTGCTATGGGAGGAAGGTTTCTGCCCTCCAAGCCATCATCATATTGTTTACACAGGACATTATCATGAGAAGGTACCTGAGACATTGTGAAGCTGTGGGACCAAACTAATGCATTTATTCTTTGATACAGCTATTACTGGGAAACCAGTAAGGGGGCATGGGCAAGCTGTATCTCAACCTGGCAGGCACTTAAATGAAGCCTTTCAGGAGAAAGGGTTTCATAATTGATAATAATGAAGCCATGGAGGATTGCAGCTGTTTGAATAGCTAGTTTTAAAAACACTGAGCAATTTATCAATAGCAATTTGGGGGAAGCTCTTCTGTCTCTTGACTCCCGGATCCTCTTGTCTTCACCCATAGTTTAGTTGGCAGATGAAAAGATAAACACTGCTTTTCAAGTTGTACATGATATTTTTTGGGAGGTGTGGCTGCTGTTGAAGGTTGGTTGAACTAGTCTAAAACTCTTGGTCAAAGAGCAAGGGTTTATATATATATATTAATTTTGAGACGGGGTCTCACTATGTAACCCTGGCTGTCCTAGAATTCTCTATGTAGACCAGGCTGGCTTTAAATTCAGTTGAGATCCACCTGCTTCTGCCTTCTAAGTGCTGGGGTTATAAGTGTACATCCTTAAGCCTGGCTCAGAGGGCAAATCTTATGTTAGATATTAAAAACAACTTTCACCCAGTTATGAAGCAATTTGTTGAATGAGGGCTAACTTCATTTTAGTTTTATGTGAAACTGATCTGAGAGTCATAGGGGACCGCAAAGCTCAAAAGGGAACAAGAATAAGTCAGGATTGGAAGCAATTGCTAATGCAAACTTGGATTCCATTTAGAATATCCAGATCAAAGGAAATGCTAGCTACAACTCTTTCCTTGCATCAGATCAGATATGGGAGTGTGTAACAAGCTTTGAGCATTGCATGCTAAATGTAGTCACTGATGGGTTTGGCAATGAGGGTGCTGACAGGACTTCCAGATTTTGTCTAATCATGAAGTTTGGGATGTTTGCAGATGTGGCCTTGAGCAGAGATATCTCAAGGGGAAAAGTTTATTTCATGTAGAGGAAATGTTGTCATCTTGAGAGGGGGAGTTAAGTTCCCTTGGAGTCTCCAGAAGAAAGTAGATTGGCTAAGAAGAGGACGTGGAGGGGTCGGAAAGGCACGATGAAAGGCTGACCGGCTCCCAGTTTGGCTGGTCTGTAGGTGAAACTATTGGAGGAACAAGGGGGAGAGCCTGCACTATGCACTAGACTATACCAAAAAGCCGAGGCTGCACACCCTGGCACAGTCAGCCCGGAGAAGAGTTAGCTGAGGCCAGCGGTGGTGGTTCAAGCTACCACACTGGGAAAGTTCAGGCAGGAGGATTGCTATGAGTTTTAGGCCAGCCTGGGCTACAGAGTAAGACATTTTCTGACACACAAAAAAGTGTGCATTGAATAAGAATTATCTCCATTTTCTGGTGATTCGTGATTTTTTTTTTTTTGATAACATTCCATGAGAAGGGTTAGATGATTAACAATCTTCAGAATTTTCTAGAATAAGTTAAAAGATTTTAAGTCTTTAAATAGAGCACTTTCTCTCCATATTAACATTTAATATTAATATTTAAGATAAACAATGTTTTGAAATTCTTACATTTAGTCAAGCAAATTAACATTATACTCTGATATAGATTTACACATATGTGAAATCTAACACCATATCAAATACATAAAAATAGAGACTACATAGGTCAGTTCAGGGAGTAGAGAATTAAAGCATGTAAAATAAGATGAAAAAGTGAAAGTGCAAAAGTACAGTCTACAAACTCTGGCTAATAATACTCATTTGAATGTTAGAAATTTGCTGGGAGTAGTTTTAGGTGCTTTTATCATAAAATTTATTCCATCATTACCATTTAGAAGAGGGCATAAAGAAACCACCCACTTAAGCTTGGAAGTCATAGCAATGGGTGAAAAGTAGATTCTCAGATTGTAGGAGCCTTGGAGGAGGAAGTGACAAAGTACCCAAAAAGGAAGAAAGGAAATGCTAAAAAGGGCTGTGACCACTGGCGACCAACTGTGCCCTGCGCATGCCCAAGGACAAGGCCGTTAAGAACGTCATCATTTGGAACACTGTGGAGGCCGCTGCTGTCAGGGACATATCAGAAGCAAATGTGATAAAAGCTTATGTGCTTCCCAAGCTCTCTGTCACGCTGCGTTACTGCATGAGCTATGCCAGTTGTAGCAAGGTGGTCAGGAATCAATCTCGCGAACCCGAAAGGACCTAACACCCCCACCAGTTTAGACCAGCTGGAGCTGAAACACGACCTCCACCAAAGCCCATGTAAAGACAGGAGGTTTTGATGACAGAAGGACAGTAGAAAAAACACTTTGGACAAATAAAAGGGACGTTATTCTTAAAAAAAAAAAAAAAAAAAAAAAAAGATTGCAAGTCATGCATCACTGTGAAAAAGAACATTGTCTGCTGCGTGCATGTGTAACTGAATAATAACCCCCCTTCAGCCCCTGGGATGTAATGTCATACATATGTATGACATTGGTTTGCTTGAGAATAAAAGTAATTTTATCTATAGATTCTTAGGACTGATTAGACTAAGATAATTTTTAAAACACTGTTTATTGTTTCTTTGTGAATTTCACAGTCCCACTCATCTCCCCCTCCCCTCATACCTGCTCTCCATCCTTGCAACCACCCCCACAACCAACAGAGGAAAACCATTTGCTTGTGGAAGCTGTAGTGTGTTTGTAGTATGCCCCTTTGTCCACACCGTCTTTGCTTGCAAATGCTCATTGCAATGACTTGTTGGTTTGATACCAGGCCTCAGAGTTCTGCCACTCTGTCAATACTGGCACTTCACTGGTGATGGGGGGTTGTCTGAAGCTTGTATTTTGATGCTAATTACTGGCCCTCAAGATCTGATTGCTGCCTGGATAATCCCACCCTTGTGTAAACCTGCCTAAGACATTATACCGGATTGTTTGATTAAGGGCCTAAAACCTGGGCAGGGCAGAATTGGGCTGGTGTGGTTAACATTCCCAAGCTTTTGGGGAAGAGGAGAACCATGCATGGGAAACATACAGACAAGCGGGGGAAGGGAGAGGAGGAAGGAGGACACCATGATGGGATAATGTGGAGAAGAAACCACGTGGGCTGAAAGGAAGTACTCCCAGGATTAAGTGGCTAGAGAAAACACCAAGATGAAAAATATGAGCAAGTATTTATAAGATTATGGATGGAAGGTAGCCCAGATAAGGATGGGTTAAGGTGGATGGCATTGGATGGGGGCTGGGAAGTGGGTGGCGAGGTTATTGAGATAGCATAGGTTCAATTACTTTCCCAGCCCAAGGTGTTTTAAGGCAATTATAAAATACAGCAGGTCTCTGTGGCTTTATTGATTGTGATAGCAGGTTAAATAATACTGCCGCAATAATTATAGGGCTAGTAAGAAATAACACATAGGCCAACACCCACCTTTTAATTTATAATAGCACACTGGGACCCCTCTCTGATATCCCACTGTTGCTCTGTGTCATGGAGATCCCATAGTTAGCAGTTCATCGATGGGCAAGATGTTGGGGTGGCCAATTCAAAGCCCTGGATCTGGTCCTGAGAGGTATCAAAGCTGGTCAGCCCAAAGGCTCTCCTGCTCTCAAGCCATTGGTGCCAGCTTACCAGCAAATCCCGCAACCAGAGCCAGCTCTACCCTGCTGCCCAGGTGATGTACAGGGCTTGCTCTCTCTCCTGAGTGCTGTTGTAGATGGCATGGGGTGAGGGTGAGGGATGGCATCTCTTCCTCATCCATGCTGCCTCAGGGCAGACACATTTCAGGGCCAGCTTTATTGCTCATACCCTTGGGCTGGCTCACCCAACCCCCCACCATCAAGGTCAGGTCTACTGTGCTTCGCAGGTGAGGTGCAGGGACCGATCTCCCACCTGCAGCAGGTGAGGGACAGGGCCAGATCTCCTGCTCTCATGACCCTAGGGCCGACTCTCCTGCCTGACTCAGGTAGTGAGGGGCAAAGGGGAGGGGAAGGAGGATATCTCTCCCTTGTCTACCTCACCACACAGGAGACAAGTGGTAAGGTCAGCCCTCCCATTCTCATATCCTCAGGGCCTGTTCACTCACAACTCTGGCAATGTGTGGGGCCACTTTCCCAAGTACTATAGCTTGATAGGGGGAGGGTGAGCTTTCCTGCTCCCCTGTCTCCAGGGCCAGCTCTCCCATGATGCCCAGGTGAGGGGTGGAGCCAGTTCTGCACTGTCCTCTGACATTAACACATCCTCCAGCGTCAGCCCAGCCCAGGGACATCTGCCTGGTCTTTGGTGATAACAGAATTCTGCTTCTGTAGGACCACAGACCCAGATGTGGTTCCTGCTGGCAGCATAGGCTAGGACCCCACCATGGTGCCACCTACTGGCTGCTCACATCCGGCTGTTCCTCACTACCCCTGAGTCTCCAGTTCTGCCTCTTTTCATTGTGCCTACATCCTTCTGCTTCTCTTTCTCTTTCATTTATTCTCTTAGTGGTGCCTGGGCTCTCTGAGGGCCAGGGTCGTCTCAGAAATGGTCTCAGGAGTGCTGCACCCCGCTTGTGCATTATGACACCAAGCAGGAATCATTCTGGGTCGGGTCTGTCCCATCCCCCTCCCCCCAGACCCACTCTGTGTTGGACTGGTGGTCATCTGAGGCTAACTCTTTATCTAGGCCCCATGGCGCTGGTTTGGTGGTTGTCTTGGCTCGTTCCTTGCCTGGCCCACCCAAGTGGCCTGTTTTGAGGGTGCTGCATTTTGGGCTTGCTTCTGCCTAGGGCCTGCAGCCCTAGGTTGGGGTCCTTCTAGTCTTTGGCTTGCTTCCCATCCTGAGAGCCTGTCTGGGCCTGCCTGGTGCCAGACTGGTAGTCATCTCCGGCTGTTTTAGTCAGGGAGTGTCAGGCTACTAAACACTCAGATGTTGATGGGTCAGAACCCTGAGTGTACACAGTCTCTCTTCTCTTCTGCCACCTACTGACCTGTGTGTGACACAGCAGCCACACCTGCAAAGCCTCTAGAGGCAGGTTAAAATAATTTTAAAATATGATAATAAACACTGAATTCTGAAAATGGTTCTCTTAATAGCTGATCAATTTTGATTGAAAAAAAAATCAGATTTGAGCTGGGCATGGTGGTGTGTGCCTGTAATCTCAGCACTTGGGGAGGCAGAGGCAGGTGGATTTCTGTGAGTTAGAGGCTACTCTAGTCTACAAAGAGGGTCCAGGACAGCCAAGGCTACACAGAGAAACCTTGTCTCAAAACAACAACAACAACAAAAATCAGATTTACTATGGTTTAAGTCAATATAGATTGAACTGATATTTATTAAGGTAAAATTTGAGTCAATTCAAATTATAATAAAAGTATAATAAAGTTAACCTTTGTTTTTTTTTTTCAGTTTAATCAAATCTGTAAATCTGATTCTTTATGTTTGTCATTTAGCCCATAAATACTTATTAAGCACCTTTTGTAAGCTGGGCAATGTTGGGCTATGAAAAAAAAAAATCAAGAGTTAGGATATGGATTTAAAAAATGTACAATCTGGGGCCTGGGGGATAGCTTCAATGAGAAAGTATTTGCCACACAGGCGTGAAGGCCTGAGTTGAATCTCTAGCACCCATGGCAAAAGCCAAGTGTTGTAGCTCGTGCTTCTAAACCCAGCACTGGGAAGATGGACTCAGGCAGATCCCAGAAGCCCATTGGCCAGTCAGCCTAGCCTAATTGGAGAGTTTCAGGACCCACTGAGAGACCTTGTCTCAAAAAACAAGACTCATGAGGAATGATGGAGGAGGTTTCCTCGGCCTTGCATGCACACTTGGGCTCCCTAATCCTCAAACAAAAATGTGTTGTCAGGATGTTTAGCGTACCACATGGGTTATTTTTCTTCCCACATATTTTCAGAACACAGGCAACCATTTTTTCTCTACACCCGACTTGACCACAGTCCATGATTATTTACTGTTACTTCAGGCACGGATTGCTTGGGCTGGACCCAGATTTCTTCTCCTTCCCTCTGCACACTTTATTATTATCAGGGCTTTAAAAATAAGATGTGTAGATTTAGGAGTTTCATATGGGGAAGTAGTGGGTTTTGCCCCAGCTTCCCCAAATTGTGACGATAGTCCAGGATGGCTATTATAACTATAAAACCAAGAGAGGACAATCTGTTTTTTTAGAAGTATGTGCACGTGTGTGTGTGTGTGTGTGTGTGTGTGTGTGTGTGTGTGCATGTTTACGTGTGAATACCATAGCGTACATGGGAAGTCTAAGGACACAGAGGACAACCTATGTCAGTCCTCCCTTCCCACCTTATTTGAGGCAAGATCTCTTGTTGTTCACTGTTGCACATACCAGGATACTGGTCCTCAGCTTCTCGGGGGTGAAAGGTGGGGGAGCATCTCCTCTCTCTGCTTTTACCCATGGAGCCATCTCCCAGCTCACAGTGGTACTTCAACACCTACAGTAAAGCCATTGGGCACCCAGGCCAGTCCGCACACCAGAAGGCATCAAAAACTTGCTGTTAATGATCGTTTTATATGAAGTATTTGCGAAGTCCCAGTGGAAAACAGCTCCAAGCCCTTAGCCTGGTGGTCTGAGGTGACGGGGGAAGGCTCAAGGCAGGCAGAGAGTAGTCGGGGGATAAGCAACAGAGCTGCGTGACTTCTAAAATTCAGTTCAGTCCAGTGAACAGAGTTATAACATGCTTTTAAATTTCATGTGCATGTTTGTTTTGCCTGCATGGATGATGCTGGAACACCATGTATGGACAGTGCCCACAGAGGCCAGAAGAGGGCATCTGATCCCTTGGAACTGGAGTGACAGCTGTTAGCTCTCATGTGGGTGCCAGGAATGCAAACCCAGACCTTTTGAAGAGCAGCCAGTGCTCCTAACTGCTGAGCCATCTCGTGAACCCACAGTTCAATGAATATTTACTGAGGACATTTGTGTACCATATATGTGTAATTTTTTAAAAAATTTATTATTTTTTTTTCCAATTTTTCAAGACAGAGGTCCTCTTCGTAGTAGCCCTGGTTGTCAAGGAACTCATTCTTCAGACCAGGCTGGCCTCAGAGATTGCCTGCCTCCTGCTTCCCAAGTGTTGGGATTAATGGTGTGCGCCACCATGCCTGGCTGATTTTATTTCTTTGAAGTAGAAAAAAAAGAATCAAAAGTTAACTCCGGTCCTTTAAAAGACAAACAAACAACCCACAGCATTTATTTAAAGGAGACTAGAACAGGGAATGTGAAATCTCAACATTCAGCAGGTTTCCCAGGTACAAGGATATAGAAAGGTAGCTCAACTCAGATCTAGCCACCTTGCTTTCTTATTATTCCCGAAGCTGCTCATTGCCTCTTCATGTCTGTCCTGGCTGTCGGTAACAGAGTTTTAGACTGGCCAGGTGCCCAGGTAGAAGGCGATCCGTCCTAGGCTAGTTTGCATCTGCATCAAGGTGTGGCCGGTGAAGTGCAGGTGGCCAGCTGTCCATGGGACTCCAGGAAAACCTCTCTCAAGAGACCCAAACAGAGAGGATAAACACACTTGGCGTTTTTTCTTTTCTACTTACTTCTTTCTGAAATTCGGACCTCTGCCGGCACCTTCTGACCTGGAGGTTGGCAGCTATGGTTAAAAAAGGCTGGAAGGGAAAACCCAAAGGATGCTGAATGCCTGTGTACTTTGAGGATCTGAAAAAAAAAATCGTCTCTGGACTGTGTCCCTCATTTCACATTCTTGCTTTGCAGGAGATAAGTAACTGTTTACACAATAAGCCACAGTCATAGGTGCTGGTTACAAGCAGCTGACTAATAACAGAGGGAATTCTACTGATTGTATTCACCTTTCTTGTGGTTCCCCACTGACTCCTCTGCATTCCTCTTGTCCTTGAAGTTTCTATATTTTCTCTGTGTGCCTCTGTGTACATCTTTTGGCTTCTGTTTCTACAACTATCACCTGATGATCTACAGTCTTCATTCAAATTTAAGAGTGAGCTCTAATGAATGCAATTAATTCCTGCTGTCTGTTTGTGCTAAGAGTTACTACAGGGAGACTTTTCAAGTACCCGACCCATGATTAAGCTTTTTTGCCCACGCTGATGCATGAATTTCCTTTCAACTCTTTCCTTTTCACTTACTGGTAGTAATGTTACCAGGAGCAGCATCTGGCTCTAAAAGAAAATCAACCCTGTCACCACAGAACTGTTGCTCTTGTCATCTAAAATTTAAATATTATAACAAATATATGTTTATTATAAAATACATCACATGTAGGTAGAAATGCTTCGTAATAAAGACACAAGCCTTTTTCCCCCTAGATTTTAAATTATTTTATGAAAGGTGAATATTATTCCACCAGAGAACTCCTATAGCTGATAAACAGCTTCAGCAAAGTGGCTGGATACAAGATGAATTAAAAAAAAATCAGTAACCATTCTGAACATGAACGACAAATAGACTAAGATATTATGGAAACTACACCTTTCACAGTAGCCACAAATAATATAAAGTATCTTGGTGTAACTTTAACCAAGCCAGTGAAAAACCTGTATGACAAGAAGTCAAGTCTCTGAAGAAAGAAACTGAAGAAGTTATCAGAAGATGGAAAGATCTCCCCTGCTCCTGGATCACTAAGATTAACATAGTGAAAATGGCCATCTTACCAAAAACAATCTACAGATTCAATTCAATTCCCATCAAAATACCAACACAGTTCTTTCCAGACCTTGAAAGAACAATTCTAAACTTCATATGGAAAAACAAAAAACCCAGAATAGCTAAAATAGTCCTATACAATAAGAGAACTTCTGGAGGCATCTTCGTCCCTGACTTCAAGCTGTACTACAGAGCAATAGTAATAAAAACTGCATGGTACTGGCATAGAAGTTGACTGGCTGATGAATGGAACCAAATCGAAGACCTAGAAATAAACCTTTTTTTTTTTTTTTTTTTTTTTTTTTTTCCAGACAGGAGCCTGTCAGAATTGTCTTCTGAGAGGTTCTACCCAACGGTGCCTCAAAACAGGTGCTGAGACTCATAGCCAAACATTGGTCAATGTGTAGGGAGTCTTGGGGAATAGTGGGAGGAAAGAGAAAAGGACCTAGAAGTGACAGGAGCTCCACTAGAAAAACAACAGAGCCAACTAACCAGAGCCCAGAGGGGTTTGCTGAGACTGAAGCATCAACCAAGGACCATGCATGAATTGGACCTAGACTTCCTACAAAGATGTAGCAGATGGACAGCTTAGGCTTCAACTGGGCATTCTGGTAAGGGAAGTGGGGATTGTATCCGACAGGGACTCGCTTGCTAACTTTTAGATCACTTTCCTCTGGAAGTACTACTTTGACAGGCCACAGGGGAAGAGGACACCTTCTGTCCTGATGCAACTTGATGAGCTGGGGTAGATAGGAAGGGGAAAAGGGAAGGAGAGGGGGGAGGGAAAATGGGTGGGACGGAGAGGGGAAAAGCGAAGGGGCTATAAAGATATAAAGTGAATAAAATAAATAAATGAGGGGGAAAAAAAAAGCTAGGGACTTTTTTAGGTTGGCAAGGAAAGACAGTATCCCAGAGTAGCACTGGCTGACGAGACACTAGCAAGCTGGACACAATTAATTTCCTTATACTGTTTTTGCTCTCATCTTCATGATATGGTTTAATAAAAATTATCAGTGAGTAGATGCACAGCTTAAAGATTTAAAGGAGAGATGGCTGATTGTTTTTATATAAGAGTTTAGGTTTGTGAGTCTTTTAAGATTTTTTTATAAGATTACTTTTTAAGATAATTGATTTTTTTTCTTTTTAACTACAAATTGCAGCCTGCCAGTACAGAAAAAGCTGGCTGACAAATTACCTTGCTTGTTCACCTTGTTAATTCATAACAAGTTGCTTAGTTATAAATATATATGGGTTCTTGGGAATAACTTGTTTTTCATGTTTGTTTCTCTTCCATAATATTTAAAATATTTAATCCTGTGAGGGTATTGGGGAACATGTTTTTCTTACATATACTCATTGTAATACTTCACTTAAAGAAA